GACATCTCTTGCTTACAACAATCTTCTCTGTCTTTAGCATCGAAACAGATTAAATTCACAACTGCTGACGAAAACAAACCAAAATCGAGCTTTGTTAAGAAGTCGGCGTTGTTGACGTCCGGCAAGGACTTTCGCTTTAATTTTGCGTTGCCCAGCAACAACAACAATGAGAACGAGGCAGCTGCAGGCCAGGCTCAGGACGTGCCCCAAACGGCTGCAGCTGCCACAAACATCAGCAACAGCTTGCAGCTGTCCACTGGCAAGGAAGAGCCCTTCAGATTCAACTTTGAAATTGAGAATGCGCCAGAGGACATCAACTTCGCTGGCCTAATGCTAAATAGTTAAACTTTTATTAAATATAGTTAAGTTACTAAAGAAATCCATGTTGTTTACATCTTCATTAAAGGATGACAAAAGTTTTTTTTTTATACGTTTGGGCATTAATGTTGGCTGTTGCTCAACGAATGCGTAAATACTCTTTATTTTATTTTATTTATTTTAATTTTATTTTTGTTTACTAATGCAACTAAAGCAGCGTAACTGTACAATAGCAAAAAAATGTTTACTGCACCGACTACAAATGTCTGCGAAATTGATGTGTTTTTTATGAAAAATGAACCCAAAACCAATTGACGTTGACTTAAGAATAGAATTGGAATTGTACTGGATTTATGTTTCCTGCTGCGCCACCCGTTTGCTGCTGATAGACCTCGATTGTGTCGCCCTCCTCCATTTCCAGGGAGGTGGGTGTATCGTTTTCATTGATCGGCTGCCCATCGAAACGAAATCGTACCACTTGCATAGACAGACCCTAAAATACACAGATAAAGAGATTATGTTAGTTCTCAATGTGATATTCCATGATTGTTTGCTATCTTTCACTTACGGCACGGTCACAATAGGCGTTCATTAGCTTACGCAGCGGAGTGTGTTTCTTTATTTTGAATTGAACAACTGCATTGTCCTGGCCCAGGACCTTCAAGTTGATGTGCTCAGTTTCAGTCTAAGCGGCAATAAAAAGAATCAGATATTTAAATTAAATCAATCCATTATATATTTACATATTTACATAAATACAAAAACAAAAAATCACGGTTCAACATAAAAAAAAGTTGAGACTAAATTTGTTTTTGCCATGCTTAAATTATTGAAAACATGTTTCATTTTTTTCTTTTGGTATTTGGCGCATACAATCGCGCTTGCAAGTGTGTGTGTGTATATGTATGTATATTCACTACACGCCGGCTTTTTTCGCACTAGCCACAATTTATTCGCGAACAATTTTTACCTGGAAACAAACAAACTTCGTAGAATATTTACCTTCTTTTCTTCAGACATTTCTATTATAATTTTTCAGTTTCCGACTATAGACTATGTATACCGCAGCAGATATTTCGTTAGAATGAGCAAAACAACTCAACGTTGTCAGCAAAGTAAGTTTGACACAACAACAAAAGTAGGGATGACCGATAACAACTATCGTATTTTCATGCTCACGCATGAATCAGTTTCATCGCAGTTTCATGCTGATATTGTCAACGCTAAAATGTATATATGCAAAGAGTGATGCGCTATTTCGTTCCGGAACTAGTTTTTGATGCGGCTCAACCTGAGCTGGCCTAAGTTTTAAGTAAAATATGTATTCATTTTACTGTACCATTGTCAAGGTAAACAAAAAATTAAAAGTCAAGTTTTGTTCTTTTTTTGAATAATACGATAATCTTTATTCTATTAAAGGTAATATGAAAAATACTCAATATGGAAGTTATTACTTTTCTATACATAATACATGCATATATGTATGTATATAAATCTATATTCGTTTATATAGAGATACATATATGTACACATATGTGTATATGTATATGTTACATTTACAATATTAACTCTATTGGTTTATATATGTACACAATTTTAGATTTGCATTCTGTTGTTGTGTTAATTGATTGAATATTTTATTTACTAATTTTTGCGTACATACACAATCATACATATGTATGTATGTACATCTATATAGCACTTTCAATTTCATATTTATGTATGTACATATACATATATGTATGCATGTGTGTATGTTTGTATGTTTCTTTGTTTGTTTGTCGATTTCTCATTATTGTATTCACTGATATGCATTTATTTAATTAATAATTGTTGAAAACAAACAAATGTACATATGTGTACATATGTTTGAGTATAAAAAAAGACACGCTTATAATCAAATATGTATGTATGTATGTATCATTAGCTTCGCTTTTCTTCAAAATATTTAATGTTTATGCTATGCGTATTCAAAACTCAACTGGAACTGGAACTGTTTAGGGGATGGGAGAGCTCTTGATAGCGGGTATCGCATAGATCACACACACATACATACGAGCTTGCTTTCGTGTATGTATGTGTGCATGCCTGGATTGCATGAGCGTTGTTTGTTTTGCCTGCATACACACACCCACATGCATATTCATTGAAAAGGATTTCGAAAACTTCACACACACATACATACATAATCATAGATGTAATGGACATTTAGATGTTTGTTTTTTTTTTTCTTTTTTGAAAAAGCTTAACAATTTAATTAATATATGTAGGTAAAAAATATATCTAATTTTAAATGAATTGTTTTCTAACTACCTAAATGTTACGATACACACATACATAAGAACTTTTGCTTTTATTTTTTAACTACTTTAATTTGATGATATACATACATACACTAGCATGCACATACATATATTCACATAGAAACACATTTCGAGGTACAAAATAAAAAAAAAAATAGTTTTTTTCCTTTGACATGAAGATTCAGATAAAAATTTAAATTTTCATAATTCAGTTTTCCTTTTTTGTTATATATAAATTCTGTTAGTTTCGGCTGAATATATGTATGTAAGTACATAACTGTTTATCTATGTATATATAGATAGTTGCTGGATTATCCGCACTAACTAAAGTTGAGCAATTCTGTTTTTTTTTTTTTTTTTTTTCATAATTCTTGTTCTATTTATAAGACTTCTTCATGAATACTTCACTATATATATGTATATAGAATTTTCTATATTTACATAAATTATTTATAATTTTTGTTAATTATTATTGTAGCTTTTTTTGTGTTTCTTGTTGTTTGTTTATTTGGTAGGTTTGTTATTCAATTTTAATATTGCTATAATTAATATACTTTCGTTCTGTGGGTCTAACGTACATACATATATATATGTACATACAGATTTATACATACATATATAGGTCTGCACTAGGTACAGTCGTGGGCTATAACTTATTAGTGGGGCATACAGAGGCATTTATGTATTTCTCCCGCTCATCCGATTTATATAGATTTATTTCCATTTATTTATATTTATATATGGATGTATGTATGTATGTATATATACATTTATCTACTCTATCACAATTGGAGAGTGCCTAATTTCAGTTAGCAAAAAACAAAAAAAAAAAAAAAAACGTCATTAGGCCTAGCTTAGCTTATACACACATCGATCTAGAATATGTTTAGATATACTATATATTTATATATGCATATAAAACGGATTTAACAAATTTGCTTTAACTAAATAGCATTATAAACATTGAGAATTTGTTTTCTATACATTCAGAGAGGGAGATAGATATAGTATATATCTAGATATATATTATTCATATGTCTCTTTATTGTTTATATGTATACATACATATACATATATAAAAGTACAAAATTGTAATTCAATTCTAGTTTGTCTAAAAGTTTTTCGTGTTTAATTTCTATTTACTTTTCTTTTTTCAATTACTTTTCCTCTTTCTTTATCTGTTTTGTAGGTACTTTTCGTACTATCATGATCGAAATGTTGCATGTAAATGAGTTTTATATTTCATAGACAAATCATTTGCACTCGCATGCACTCGCATCATAACAGTTAGTATAGTTAGTTATAGTACAGTTAGTTAGAAGCTTTTTAAGGTACTTAAATGTTTCTTTAAATTTCCATTTCAGTGGTAAGTTTTTAGGCGACACACACACATGCATAGGATAGGATCTGTGTATGAGAGAGTGTGTGCTGTTTGTATGTATGTGTGTGTATGTGTAGGTATATATACATATATATCAAACTAATTTTCCGCATTAGAAACTTAACTACTTAAGTTATGGATTATAAAAAAAATAAAAGAAAACAAATTTGTATATAATTATAAAAACAAAATAAAATTGTATTTTATATTTACACATATGTATACTTTTTTTTAATAATAAAAATAAAAAAATAATACAAAATATATATATACATATACGTTTATATATTTTTTATTTACTTTATAAAAAAATAGATTTAATTACTTTGTCAATAAATATATTTTTATGAATTTCATATTTATTCATTTGATGCACAGCTACGGCCATAAAAATAGTAGCGTAGTAACGTAGACATCTGAATTAATAAGAATATATATTAAGTTCCAAATGGTTTTCAATATATTGGGTTTATCACTAAGATTTTTTCCCAACTGTACTACTACTACTATTGGTTTGACCGCAGGTGTATATACATATATACAATAAATATGAAAAAACATATATGTATATTCGTATTTTTTTTAATATTAAAAAAAAAATAATAATAATATATATGAAATTAATAAAATAAATATTTTTTAAATACAGATTTTTTCTCTATTATTTTTAGTAAATATTATAACTTGAATGATTTATTTTCTAGACTTTCATAACTTTTTTTTTTTTTTTTGCTATTTAGAAGGAATTTGTTGACCGCTGTTTCATATATGTATGTAAACATATACACTATGTATGTACATATACATACATACACACACATATATGTATATATTATATATATACATTCAATATATTTCTTGAATTCTCAATTTGTTTAGAATATTCTTTAAATTAGGCTTTTTGGTATATGCATTGACATATGTTAGGTTAGATTGAATGGCTACACACACAGGCACAGACACGCACACACACTCACGCACGTACACAAACACACTCACACACATACATATACATATTTCATATATATATATGTTTAGATTATTTAATTTATATAAATAAAAATGCCTTTTTTTATTTTTATTTTTTTTTTCAATTTTCAGTTTGGGTTTTTTTGTTGGAAATTAAAGTAAACATTTATATAGCACAAGGTATATTACGTAAGCCCGTATAAAAAGTGTAAAATGTTGTTTTTTTTTTCTTTACGTTGTTTGTTTGTTTTTTTGTTTTGTTTTTTTTTTATAAAAGTTACAAATGTTCATATAAAAATAGATATACATACATATAAAAAAATAAAGTCAAATAGTAATACACGCACGCACCCACACACATACACACACGCACACAAATACACACATGCGCGACATACCCTAGAAGGAAAAATAAACAAAAAACAAAATATGAGAATGGTAGAAAAATGAGAAAACTTTGCTATTCATGGCAGTAACACCAGCTATAAAAACTTGCAACAAAATATCAGATAAACATATAGCGCTCTCTCTATATATATAGAGAGAGAGATAGAGAGTTGGGTTGTTTAGCGTTAGGCTTCACAGGGTATGTCCATATCGATCATATGTTGATTTGTGTTTCTTCTTTCCATTTGATACAAAAAACAGAACTTATAAACTAATTAAAAAACTTAATGTCAGAGGATTTTATCTAAATTAATTTTTTTTTGACTCTCTTCTTTTTCATAGTTTTTAGTTTTTGGTTTTGTTTTGTTTTTGTTTTTCTTATTTCTTTATATATAGTATATGTGTATAACAATTGGAAAACAATTAGTTTAGAAATTCTAAAAAGGATCTCGTCTCTAGTTGTTAATGTTCTTTAATGTCGTGCTTTAAATGTTAATATTGATAGATATATATATATGTTTATATATCTATGCCTAAATAAACTTTCACAATCACTATATATATATACATACATATATAGTACATTTACATATATATATATATATATAAATATAGATAATATGTGAATAACAAAATAAATATGTCTACATACACACACATGCCCTATAAGAATATATATATATATATATATATACATATATCTATATATATATACATATAAAGATACATACATATATACATATATGCACATCAAATCAAGTACAGAGCATTACATATTTCTGTATATACACTATCTATTCGATTTTGTATATTTTCTGCTTATTTGTTGCTTGAGAGTTGATTTCTTGTCTCTGCTGGCTGTTGCTTGGTAATATATGCTGGAGTTTCCGCTTCAGATGCTTCACATATACACGCATACAGTTGTATATACATATATAGAGATATACATCTATATGATATACATCTGTCTGTTTATATATATGGGCATGTATTCCTCTCTCTCTCTCTCTGTCTAATGTCATTCGTTTCGTCTCCCAGCCAGCACATACTCCATTCCGACTTGCTTTCTATATATATATAGACCTTTCCTTCTCTAGTTAAATTTTTATGATTGGGTCAGTCTGCTGTTGACCCGTTTAACATTTATATCTAGTTAAAGTTAAGATGACTTTGGCCGCTTGCTTTTCCTTTTGCTTTTGCTTTTTCGTTTGCTTTTGCTGTTGCTGTTGCTGTTGCCTTGAACACTTGTCGCCATCGTCTTTTTGTTTTTATTATTTTTTATTGCATTTCCGGTTAACGTCGATTTCTCGTCTGCGGTGATTTGTTGTCGCGGTGCTTTCAGCTGCTTCTAGTTGGCCACCAGCAGCTGCTGGTAGGTGGAGCCGCTGCCATAGAACGAGCTGAGCCCATCGATCAGTTTGCTATTGTTGCTAGTGTTGCTGGCAGCTGCCGTATTGCTGCTGTCCGGCTGATTGTTGCCCGCTGCAGCTGATGTGGCTGCTGTTGCTGCTAGGCTGGCAGTCGCTACGTCTGCCTGAGGATTGCTGTTGCTGTTGCCGTTTGCGTTGCTGTTGTTGTTGCCGTTGCTGTTGCTGTTGCTGTTGCTGTTGCTGTTGCTGCTGCTGTTGCTGTCGCTGCCGCTGTTGGCCACATTGCCGGCAATGCCAGCTGTGGGCGTGGCTATTGGACTATTATCGGTGGACGATTCGCCAGTAGCGACGCCAACAGCCGAATTGGGCGACTCCTCGATGCCAACGATGACGCTGCAATCCGTATCCAGGCCGAAGCAACTATCGCTGCTGTTGGCATGCTCCAAATGCTGTTGCTGAAGAAGATGATGTTGCTGCTGTTGGTGGAGGTGATGCTGCTGCTGCTGCTGCTGCTGTTGATTGATCATAGTGGCGCCTGCGGCATTGGCATTCACGTTGACATGACCATTGCTAAAGTAACATGGGTCCAGGTAAGTACTGAAGCTATTGCTGCCAGCTGCAGCGGCTCCCCCATTGTTGACGACTGCTGCAGCTGCTGCTGCGGCGGCGGCGGCGGCTGCTGCTGCTGCTGCTGTTCCACCTGCAGCTCCAAACAGTCCCAGATTGCCCGCATCCGCATTAAAATGATTCTCGTATAGACCACGCTGTCCATTGTATTGCGGATACAGGCCCATCGAAATGTTTGAATAGTAAAACGGATCGGCTGCAGTTGGTGGGGCAACGTTCGGTCCACTGCCCTGATTGCCGGCCAAGGTCAGCGGATTCGGCGAGAGGGAGCGGGCGGGCGATACGGCATCCAGGCCACCGAATGCCGATGCCGAGGAGCCGCCCACGGTGTGGCCATGGTGCAGCTGCTGCTGCATCGCACGCTGTTTGATGTAGTTGGAGAACTCAGTGGGCGACATGCGATACGAGCTGCTATACAAAATGAATGAATCAGTTTATGCACATACATATATATATACTCTATCTAGCAGTCTCTCTTACCTGTTGGTACGCTTGGAGCTAGTCTTCAGTTTGGTGCTGCCGAACTTCGTCTGGGCAAAGGTGGCCGTGGTGAATGTGAGCGGTGCCTGGGCGGCGCGCTGCACAAAGCCCGCGCCGCCGCCGCCGGTGGCTGTAGCATTGGCTGTGGCTGCATTGCTGCTGCTGCTGCCCGAGTGAGTTCCGGCAGCGCTGGAGCCAGCAGCAGCACCACCGGCACCGGCAACGCCGCTGCCGCCGCCATTGGGATTCGGGCTGCCCTTGTAGGTGGGCGAGCCGCTCGAGGCGGCCGAGTGTGGCGACGAGCCGGACGACGGCAATGGCAACGGCAGCGGCAATGGCAATGGCAGCGGCAACGGCAACGGCAATGCCTTGGGACTTAAGCTCAGGTTATTCATGGTCGTGTTGACCACATCGATGGGACGGAAGCATTGAGCCTCCGGATTGAACGTTTTGGTAACTTCACGATCGGCCGAATGGCTATCCTCGGGATTATCATTGTTCTCTGTATAGAGTATCTGAAACGGAAATACCATTAGTTATTGAAAGAGAAAGAGACAGATAGAGTGGTAGAGAGAGAGAGTCTCACCTTAACAGCGCCCTTTTCGCCTATGCGATAGGACACCTCGCCGGGATCCACCCAGACGGACAGCTCGTTGGGCAAATTCTCAAGTATATCGGTTATGGGTACACCGCTCTCGCGCGCCGCACGAGCCAGCACCGAATCAATGGGATCGCCAGTTTTGAGACAGCGGTACGCCGAGCCCTACAAAGGAGGTGTAAGTATTAGAAATATTAGTTTTATGTGATATTACGGGGAAATATTTGATATATGATAGATTATATATTATAGATGATAGATATATGATATAAGATATAAGATATAAGATATAAGATATAAGATATAAGATAT